TAGAAAAGCTTGCAATTTATTTTTGTAATTGTTATATATTTTTTCTGAATTAAATTATGTTTTCTTCTGAATAGACATGGTTGAAATCCTACGCTACTAGAAGATATGGTAAAGGAGTTGGTCAAGTTGAAGCTGCTTGGGAGATACTTTATCACACAGTATACAATTGCACAGATGGAATTGCTGTATGTTCCACTTAGCATATCGCCCTTGGGCCATTATGGCCAAGTAACATTGAAAAATATCTTGTTTACAAATTGAAAGACATTTTTTGCAAGTGCTCTGATAGATTTTTTTTTATTTTTTATTTTTGTTTATTTTTGTTTTTTTTCGAAGGACTAGAATCTCTCAAGGAACCTATTACATGATTCAAAAGAAGTACCAATGTAAAGTAATTTTTAATTCTCAGAGTACTGGTTTATTTTCATAAATTTCCATTCCATAAAGATCGCTGAGAAGAATATCTGCTATTCCCCCCACATCCTCGCTCAATCTGGGAATGTTAGCAATTATTCATTGATAAGGAAAACCAACATTATTAAATGCAGGACCACAACAAAGATTACATAGTAGAATTTCCTGATTGGGATCCATCACTTGATACCAGATCTGATATGCCTGAACATGACCATAGAGACCCTTCTCTTGTGAAACATCAGAAGAGAAGATTCTTTCTCCTAGAAACCAGCTCTCCTTTGCCTCAACCCCATTTATGGTATTCTACTAAGGATGTCTTGAAGGCACTCAAATTATTCCTTGATGCAGGAGCCGAGCTTGCCGGAAGCCTCACCTACAGGTAATATGAAGAAACATGACCCGTATTTTGTATTCTCAATAAATACCATTTGTAATTCACCTATCATTAAGATTGGAGGTACAAACCATATTTTCATCATCCAAATATCATCAGAAAGGGAAAAGTGAATGGCCAATGAGTTTCTAGCTCATTGACTGGAAAGAGGCATCCCTAACATGTTCAGGGGATTAATCTCCACCTCATACATTTATGGGAGAGTGGTGCATTAGTCCTTTCATTTCAGAGTACCTAGTCTGCATTAATGTTAGGGTTTAATTTCTAATTGGTGAAAAAATGATTAATGAGATTGTGTTGTTGACGCATACAAAAGAGATCAAAGTAAAAAAGAGACATGCATTTTAGTGAAAAGGAATTCCGTTGAAATAAATTTAGTACTTTTTTTTTCTTTTTTCTTCTTGCAGTACCTTTTCAGTGCATTCTATAAACAAGTTTTATTCCGTTGTTATTTCTCTTGAGCTGGAGTAGGTCTCCGCATGGTCAGAATTCTAATATGTGAACTCTAACATTGGTGTTGGTTTGGTTCCAATAGATATGATTTGGTAGACTTAACCAGACAGTCACTGTCCAAGCTTGCAAATCAGGTGTATTTAGATGCAATAGCTGCTTTCAGAGATAAGGATGCCAAAGCTTTGAGTTTTCATAGTCAGATGTTCCTGCAACTCATCAAAGACATTGACACACTTCTTGCTGCGGATGAAGGTTTTCTACTTGGAACCTGGCTTGAAAGTGCAAAACGCCTAGCTGTAAATCCCGACGAGATGAAACAGGTTATGACAGTAATCTATGTATGAATCATATGATTATGGTAATTAAATGACATAAAGCAGAGTTTGTTTATCTGGATTTTTTCTTAATTATCCATCATTTGTCTTTTAGTATGAATGGAATGCTAGGACACAAGTGACGATGTGGTTTGATACTACAGAGTACACTCAAAGCAAGCTTCATGACTATGGTACAACTCATTGTTTCCATTCTTTTCCCATCTTCTTACTTTAGTATGTTCTGTAATACAATAAAACACTTCTCACCGGTTGCTGACCATCAGCTAATAAGTTCTGGAGTGGGCTATTGGAGAACTACTATCTGCCACGAGCCGCAATGTATTTCGGTCATCTTTCGAGGAGCTTGAAGGAAAATGTGGAGTTCAAGGTGGAGGAATGGAGAAAGGAATGGATTGCTTTTTCAAATCAATGGCAGAGAGGTACAGAGCTTTACCCAGTGAAGGCGCAAGGCGATGCTTTAGCCATTGCTAATTCACTGTACCAAAAGTACTTCAGCTGAGGGGGCATGAACTAAATCTGAGTTGGAATATCTCTGTGGAAATAACCATGTTAAAAGATGTTTTATTAGTTTGCAAAAAGAGAGAGCTTTGAGGTCATACTTTCATATGTATCAGCACAATATTGTTGTTAAAATCCCTGCCTAAGCGTTGGGCCCTCCTTCAAACAGAAGTTGTTGGGATCGGTGATGGACTAAAACAAAAATAACATAAATTACAAGGATAAAAACAAAAATTGTATGGATGTGAAACAAAACGCACTATAATCGTAGATTCGTAGGGACTTGAAATATATTTGCTAGTTATTTATGTGCCACATCTGCAGAAGCAAAATGGTCTGGTGACAATTTTATTGGTGGCTTCGTGGCAATAAATAACTCATACAAAGGAACCACGCCTTTAAAGCTTAGGATTTCTGTGATGGAATAATTGTTTCTTATATTTTTTCTTCCAGATCATCACTCTTTTGTGGTTTTCATTGATTCAAGCTGCTCTTTGTATCACTCTTTTGTGGTTTTCATTGATTCAAGCTGCTCTTTGTATCACTCTTTTGTGGTTTTCATTGATTCAAGCTGCTCTTTGAGTTTCAATGCATTTGTCCTTTCTTGCTGATAAAGATTGCTTGAAATAGAAAATGTATTTCCTTCTCACTTGTATACCTTCTCACTTCATCTAAAGTCAGAACTAATTGCTTATTTTCTTCCTCTAAATATACTCTGAAATTTTATCAGACCAAATCAATGGGTGCAGTCAATCCGTCATCTCAAATTCTCAATCTTCTGGTTTATTAGCATCCATTTTTAGAAATGTTTTTTCAATCATACCAATTTTTGAGTTTTTTTATCGATCAACAATCGTCTTGTGAAACTTCTGGGCATGGTGTGGGTCATATTATTTTGTTTATTCTAATTAAATATAAATAAATAAATGAATAAATAAATAAATAAATAATACAAATATAAGTAATACTCCCTCCGTCCAACTTTACCTTCTTATTTTTCTTTTTGGATTGTCTCATAATATGTACCATATTTCTCTTTTTGAAAGACAAAAAAAATGTGTAGTCTACAACATTTCACTTTATTATATTCAAATTTCATTAACATATTTACTTTTTCAACAATGTTTATTAATATTATTGTGCAAAATCAAAATAAGACATAAAATGTGACGAAAGTGGTACAACTTACTATCAATGTTCTACGAATATTGAGATATGAAGATGAAGTGCGGTTATTAAGAAAAGTAGGTTTATGCATGAATCGATAAAATGAGAATAATGTAAGAATGAATTAGAACCATATCACTTTTACCAATTTGGAATGTGAAAATCCTAATGTAACGGACCGAAAATGAAAGATGTAATAAACTTAGAACTTCAATTTTAGAAATTTAAATATAGAGTATCTTACTTCGTATTTCTATTGAGAGAAACTCCTCTGTCCCTAAGTTTCAAACAGAAAACTATGGTGTGACACATCATCCTTGGCATGTCCGAATGGAGCGCTGGAAGGTATTAATAATGAAAGTGTTAGAGAAAGTTTAATTTAACACTTATTTGAGAGAAAATTAATTTTTTTAGAAGTGTTAATAAGTGTTTGAAGGTGTACCATAATCTATTAACAGTCCAACACTTGTATTTATCACTTTTTAACGCGTTATAATGAAGCATGCTACTTGTACACTTTTCCTGGACACTTTTGTTGTACACATTGCCCAATTGCCTGTGTGGACATGAGCTTCTGAACGAGCGCCTGTGTACACAGGCAACTAGGGGTGTGTGTGCAACAAAAGTGTAAAAAAAATGTACAAATGACGTTTTCCCTATTTTAGAAGTTGTTCTCTTCACCTGATCGGAATGTTTTTGATCTGAATTTTTAAGTTCTGATCTAACTCGATCTAAATTTTTTAAGTTTTGATCTGATCTGATCTGAATTTTTCTGATTTTGATCTGATCTGATCTGATCTGAATCTTTCTGATCTGGTCTGATCTGATTCTCTCTCATCTGATCTGAATCTTTCTGATCTGATTTGAATATTTTTTAAAATTATAATTCTAATTATAATTATTACTCCCTCCGTCCCGAATTATAAGATACTTTTCGGTTTACGATGTTTGACCGACGATAAAGTAAACAGATCCCTGTCTGCACTCAAATTATTTTTAGAAAAAAAAATTACATATTCAGAAACTAAATTAAACCCGCTACAAAACCTGCAAAAAGTAATTCAAATTTTATAAAATTTTGATGTTTAAAGTAAGAGATTAAGAGTGATTTGTGTTGACCGAGTGAATAGTAAAGATATCTTATAAAATGGGACAGAGGGAGTATTGTTATTGTAATTATAAATATAATTTAAATATAGTTATTATTGTAATCATAATTTTTAAAAAATATAACTATATTTATAATCATAATTATAATTAAAATTAAAATTATAATAGGTACAATTATTATTATACCAATTAAACTAATTATAATTATAGCTATAATTATAAAGGTAATTATAAATGTAATTATAATTATAATATTTACTTCTATAAATATAGTTATATTTATAATTAATCTGTATGATAACAACAACAGTAATAATAGAAATAACAATAATAATGATCACAATAATAATCACAATAACAATAATATCAATAATGATGATGATAATGGTGATGATAATGATAATAGTAATGATAATAATAATAGCAACACCAATAATAAGAATAACAATAATAAGAATAACAATAATAACAATAACAATATAAATAATAGTAATAATAGTAATAATTGTAATAATAATAATAAATAATTATAATTATAATTATAATTATTATTATTATTATTATTATTATTATTATTATTATAATAAAATGGATTAATCGTGTATGAACTCTTCTGATCTGATCTAAATGTTTCTGATCTGATCTAAATGTTTTTGATCTGATCTGATCTGATCTGAAACTTCCTGATTTGATCTAAATGCTTCTGATCTGATCTGATATGAAAATCTGATCTGATTTTTTTATGTGAATAAAAATAGTCTTTCTCCAGGTTTGTCTTCCTCTTCCAAAGTCTATTCTCCTTCCTCTTGCGGCTCTTCTTCCAAAGTGTTCTCTTTCCGCAAAGCCAAAGACTGTTTATTCAGCAGTCTTCTCCAGGTTTTTCTTCCTCTTCCAAAGTCTATTCCCCTTCTTCCTCTTGCTGCTCTTCTCCAGGTTTGTTTTGATTGATAATATGTTTTTACACGAACCGAAGTAGAACACTCTAAATATAAGGGTGAGTTTACGAATGGAAAACAAAAATGATCTTTGTACTCATTCTTATACCCACTTTTGTACACACCTATGTTTGTGAAGTGTTTTATTTTTGTCTGTGAACCCCGACAAAATATTGTCTTTGAATCCGGGTTCACAGACACAAAAAACCTCCACAAACATGGTGGGTATAAGGTGGGTATAAAACTGGGTACATCAAGCATGGTTGAATGGAAAAATCTACTTTAGGAAATTGGAAAAAATGTTGAATCGATGTTCGGGAACTAGTGGTGTAAAGTTGAGAATGAGATCACGACCCAAAGCTATAATATGAAAAGCCGTGGCTTACAATTATATTACTTCATTCCAGCTAAAGTTTGAAGAGTGTGTGTGTGTGCGTGTTTCAACTATTTGGGTGGGGAGAGGGGAGGTGCGGAAAGATGGTCAGTTGAACATTGCAGCCCAGGATTGTGCACTTGATATTGTATTGTTTAACAAACTGCTCCGGGTGGTGATGTTTTCATTAGTAATTACTACACTTTGCTAAACCATTGAGAACACACTTTTTAGTGGATTTGCTTTCTCCTAAAAAAATTGGCAGGATTATTTTTGGAGTCATTGAGGCTGATTCCAGATCACATTTCACAATGGCTAATGATGATGATGATTTCACCTTTTGTCATGTGAGTTCTTTGAGTTTATCCTAAAATGGATTTTAGACATTAACTTATTACGTAAACATTTCTCATTATCTCAATGTGAAATGTCAGATGACAAATTGGATTCTCTCTCTTTCATTCTCTGCCACCCCTTTCATTAATCAACAGGGTTCTTCTTATGGTAGGTTGTTGTTCATAATGACCAAGAGGGCACTGGAGCGGAAAAAGTTGTTCAAGATGTAAGTGGAATCAGAATAAATGATGATTCATCAAATCATGTTGCTTCTAGCGAGAATACTAGTGCCACTGGGCATGAAAAGTCGTGCCATAATGCTAACTTAAAGAAACAAGAGACTGGTTGCTCTTTGTCTATTAACACTATAGACACTTCAGAAAAACAAGTGAGTGAAAGTTCCAATCCAGGAGCATCAGAAGGCACTAAGACTTCACTTAAGGCTTTACAGGACCCAATAAATTATGCAAGAAAGCCTGCTCCTCGAGCCAAGGTACCCTTTGAGAAAGGGTATAGCCAGATGGACTGGCTTAGGCTTACAGCGACGCATCCTGACCTTGCTGGTAGGATTCTTCAATAAATATATTTCATTCAATGCACAGTGATTTTTCATACTTTCTTTCATTCTTCTGGAATACAAACGAGTGCACTTCCTTGCATTAATGTGAGCGAAAATATCTTGTATGCGTGTTTTTTATTTCCATATTATATAATGAACAATTTTTATTGTATAATTGCAAATTTGGCAATGTGATGAACCATCTTTAGCAAAGAGCAGACCCTTTCTTATTCTAAATGGTCGGTCAATGATTTTTCATAGATACTTTCATTCTTCTGGAATACATAGGATTGCAATTCCTTGCTTTAATGTGAGCGGAAATATGTCTATGCCTGTTTTTTATTTCCATGTTTTATTATGAACAGTGTTTATTTTATAATTGCGCATTTAGCAATGTGATGAACCATCATCAGCAAAGATCAGACCCTTTCTTATTCTAAAAGGTCAGTCATATGGGTTTTTTTACAGTCAGAGATCTGTGGGGTTATCTTACGAGAAATAGAATGATAAGAACATTAGTCCCTTAATATGTACTACGTAGTTGTTTGTCGCAAAGTTTTCTTCCCAACACTTGCTTATTCAGAAAGTGAAATTGTATGGTTGAGGTTGGTGTTAAAAAGGAGAGAAACAATATCGAATGAACAAAGTTTTGGGACATCATAAAAAGTAAAGTGGGAAGCAAATTGTGGGATAGACAGATTATCCATCTAGGTTGACCGCATTTACCCGTTCCTGTTTTCCCATCCATTTATACTGTATATGCAGATTAAATCTCCCTTTCCCTCTTTACCCTACTTATACTATTCAACTTTATCATTTTCTAAGAAGAGCATATAGACATAAAATGGAACGTAGATTTTAATGTGGGCTTTTAGGTCAAGTACTAAATGTTTTAGTTAGCTTATCATTCAAATACTTTTCCTTGAACTGTGTGATTTGGTCAACATAGACTGACAAATAGGAACAAAGGGTTTGAAATATTTTTATAACAATCAATTATTGTTTAACTATGGTTTGATTCTCAAGTGATTGTTTTTTGGCTCATGTAGCCAACCCTAGTGATTTGGGGCTAAGGCTTGGTTGTTGTTTTTGTTGTTGCATGGATATGGTATTCTTTTGAATATTAGCCCCTTAATTTTTAGATTTATAGATTAACAATTTCTAAATGTCTATGGCCTTGGTAATTTGGTTTTCAAGGATGCGTGACCTCTGGTGCTTGTGTTGTAAACCTATTATGTCCTCAGGAATAAGGGGGGAGTCAAATCAAAGACTCATAACTATAAATGAAGTTAAGCAGCACCAAGGTGAGGGTTCAATGTGGACCGTTCTGAAAGGCCGTGTCTACAATATTTCACCATACATGAAATTTCACCCTGGAGGTATGCATCTTTCTAGTTTTGCCAATGTTGTAGGCTTGTAGCAGTTACAGAAGCAACTTCCTTTCATTTACAAATTTCTGCTGCCACCTGCTGCAAATTTTTTCGTGGGTAGATGGATAGTTTTCTCATTAACATAGGTGTCCTGAATCCTGATAACTTCAGCGGATTGCTATCATTAGAATTGGTACCACACAAAAGAAGTTTTCTTATTCTGGTATTCAAAACATGTCCTATGCTTGCTCTGAGTATGCTGTATTAATAGTCTACTATTCTTGAGGTTTGACATCAATACCCATAGCCACAGGTGAAACAATTGTATGTTACACCGATGAAGAGCCCTGCAGTCATTTTTTGTTACATTTAGCCCAAATGTGAAGATTACCTTGGTTCCTTTTTGTATTTTACCTCAGAAAGAAAAAAGAGCCTGAAAGTTAGAGTTGCTTTCCGGGTGAAACCATGAGTTAGTTAGTTGGTTGGCCGAAATGTTACTTGTTGGCTCACATTGAACTTTCCAGTGGTTATCACTGCAACAAGCACATGATGTACAATAAGTACCTTTGTTATGATCAGATCACAGGCTTCACTTATTCCAAATTTCCTTTTAAGATTTTCTGATATAGACCAAAGTGTGCATAGATCTGGCCAAGAAACTGCCTAAGTAGTTTACCACTAAATCACTTTTTTGCACTCAATACAGAATTGTAGAGACCATATAATTTCTAAAATTTCTGTCGTTCTGACATGTACATGAATGAATGTTCGTTTTTTCTATGAAATTCAGCAAGAACTTTGTAGCGTATTTCATAGTTCCAGTTTTGCATTTTGTTCCTTAAAGTTTCAGCACTGGGAAACCTGTTAGTTTTTTATAGGGTTACCATTTAGCAATGTTTAATAACACTGAGTTGATATTTGATTCCCCTGTAATGTTGTATGTCAGGTGTTGACATGCTGATGAAAGCAGTTGGCAAAGATTGCACAGCTTTATTCAGTATCCTGCTATATCTCCGTGCAATATTAGAATATCTTTACCTGATATGTTATTAGTTAAATCAGCACTAAGAAGAGCTTTTTTGTTTTGATCACATTACATTAACACCATGGATTAGTAAAAAATGACAAAAGGGTTTGAAATTAATGACATAAAAAATGATTTCTACATCCCCCGATTTTTTTTAAATGATCTAAATACCATAGTGTTGCTTGGGAGTAGTACTATTTATTGTATTTAGTCTATAGTTGTTGACTGCTTTGGTTTCTACTTCACGTGAAAATAGACCTGTAAGCTTAAAAAACACATGATTTAGTCACATCTGTACTTTGAGATGATTTGTGATATTTGGTTAGCATAAGCGTTAAAGTTTGGATTGAGCCTTGTACTCACTTAAAGCTTTATAGCTATCTACTTAAATGCCTTCCGTTTTTTTCTGAAAGTAATTTACCTTAAAAGGGAAACGGACTACTGAGCTTCTGAACCTATATAACTACTTCATTGATTGTAATAGTGGGGTATGTGAATGCCAAGTAGAGGTATGTATAAATTGCAAATATTCACATTACTATTCCATGCTCTCTGACAGTTGTGATCCTTACTACAACTTTTAGATAAATACCATGCCTGGGTTAATGCAGAATTTTTATTGGAGAAGTGTCTTGTCGGTATTTTAGATGAGAGCCAGTGAAGATTTTTGTTTCTATGCTCTGTGATTCAAGAATGGTTATCTGCAGAAAGTAGAACCATGTTCAGTATACGGGCGCGCTTAGGAACACATTGGAATAAAGGTCTTAAAAATTGTTTGCCTCATCTGCTGTGGGAATAACACATTGGCTGAAAGATTTCCTATCTGGTTTTAAGATACAAGCCCTTACACTGGGAATGCTGCTAGCTACTTTTTTGTACTATAACAGACTAATTGGGTGTGTGTGTGACAGAAATCAACAGTTGACCTTGTGGATGTATGGACGTATGGTACAACTATACTATAGCTGCTCTTGGATCATTCTATCATAAGTATATCATTTCATGATTTTTTTGGCCTGAGTTAACTTTTGTATTGGTGTTATTTTCGGTGCACTGGTGTACTGCATGATTTCCATCATTTGCAATGGAGCCAAAGATTCATTATTTTTTGGCTTGAGAATATGATGGAATAAAGCAAAATGGCTCACTAAACTGTCTGTTGTTTCTTTGTTATGAAGCAGCGGTCAGTCCATGCAATTTTGGACGCGATTTTCACTATGGGTCATCCGGAAACAGTCTCTCTGTGCTTTAGTACAGAGGTAAGACTGCGTACATCCGACCCCCCCTTACCCCACCGTAGGTGGGAGCCTTTGCAGCACTGGGGTAAATGAAAATGAAAATGAATGAAATGGTGTACTGCATACTCTTATTTGTGTCAAGCTAATGTGGTTAGAGGATATAATAGTACCTGATAAGAATTGCAGAATAGGAAATGTTTCAAGGACACAAGTTAAATTTACAATATATGTAAGTTATTCTGCAATGAGGTAAGATTGTGTATGACTTCATATGCTACTGTCAAGGGAATGCGATATTGTTTGTGTTGGGTTCATGGAATCCTGATGCATTAGTAAACTGTAAAAGCATCTGAATATTCGTATCTAGTTGTTTATATAGATATATTTATTTATTTATTTATTTATTTATTTATTTATTTATTTATTTATAATAGTTATATTGTAGGATATTATATCCAGTCAAACCTTGTGCTATTAAGATATATCTCCCCTGAATGTTGGATAATGAAGTTCTGATTGATTACTTGCATATTTTGTAAATGTATTGCTTTTGATTTCAGGCAACCTAAGTTGTTAGTTTGTGCAAAACCAGATCTGCAACCTGTACTTCATAGTATTCAGTCCTCAAAGCGATGTGTAAATGAAAAGTTTTCAAGTTCAAACATTCTTATAACCATCACAAACTAGTATTGTAGTTTTGATGATGATATATTTAGATCTATGCAACAGGGGGGACTTGGACTTCATCAATAACTGGACCACAGAGACCTCCAGATTTATCCACCCGAGTATGGTAGAAGGAGCTGAAGAATGTTAACCTTGTCCTGATGCCAAATGCTATAAACTGAAAGCTTACGGTCTTGAAGTTTCCCTTTCCTGCAGATGTAAATGGAACTTTGGGACTGTTGGGATGATTTGCGCGATAGCACTCTCTCTCCCTGCTACCAATTCTATGGCTGCCTGACCTGAGGGGACATGGAAGTGAGCTCTATCAATATACTTGACCGCTTTTAGCGATTCAATGATCCATCCTGGAAGTGGGGATTCCAAATCTTCTTGCTTGGGAGGTAGTATGATCCCATCTGAAGCATATATTAAGTTATGGTGAGGGCCCTCCTCAAAACCACTGTTTTTGACCAAGTTATCTGCAAGATATCCACATAAATGATCAGAATTTTTATTCAAGCAATGTTGTAAAAAGCGCTAGGCAGGACTGGACTGGATATAAATTGGTCACACAAAGGCACCCCAAGGACAACTTAGGAATTAGGATTAGTTTGGGTGGGCGTCTTTGGAGGGGAGGGGCATGGATGGCTATTTCCATATCTGAATGAGATTGTTCCTATGTGCAGCACGCCCATTGGGTGATTATCCCAGGTCTAATTTTTAGTCGTCACCCAATGAATGTTGTCACACAGTAATGTCACAAGGTGTCCAAATACAGTTTTGCCTTACATTACTCAGATCTTATTATATATTTGAGAATTTAACAACGCAAACTGACCCTTAGTCGGTGTGTGTGTGGGGGGGGGGGGGGCATCGGGAAAACGGTGACTAAGGGACGAAGAAATAGTTGAAAAGAGAGCAGTACTTGTAGTGAGCAGGGGAGGCAAAAGTTCCTTGATAGCAACAGTATTGATAAGCGGTCCACAAGCAGGATCTTCTTGCATTCCAGGATTGTGTAAGGTCACCTTGGCAAAGTCAGAAGTTGCTCTGAAGGCCCAAGCATAAACATCACTGCCATTGGTACTATACAGACTCTTCATATGAATGTCCCCTAATGCAGGTGGCACGGACACCCTCAGCACCTCTTCTTGCACACAGCTTCTTGACGCTGCAAATGTAAGTGCATACATAGTTCCTTTCTTCACATGGATTTTCTGAGAAATCGATGCCTCATGCCCAAGCCTAATAGCATGGACGCCGTTCAAAGCTAGAAAGTACTTCCCGCCCGAGATGTACTCCACAGGACCAGAGGTTTCCCACTTTGGTTGAAAACCTATACATTTTTTAAATTTTTTAGTGGGGGAGACTGTAGATGAGAGATTAAAGTATGATGCATTCCTTACCTTTAAGAGTATCTTCTCTAAGAGCAGAGGCCGTGAAGAGTAAAGATAAAATGAGCGCAAGATAAACCATCTCTGCCAAGCTATTGCTGCAGCACCTAAAATAGAAAGGATGGGAGATAGCAGTAGGGCTTCATTCTATTTCCACACATTTATAATTCTTTAGGGAGAACTGGAGAAGAGAGAGATAGAAAGATTGAGAAAGCGGAAGGAAACAAGAACATAATGAACCACCCTGGCTCTTCCATTATTTGTTTTTTGTTTGTCTGCAAATAGTTCCTTGTTATCTTATCTGGAAAACCGACCACCTTTTCTGTATAATCCATTCTACACCATTTCCATCTCAAGTCCATTATTTACTTGGAACAGCCGGTGATTGGCTGTTGATAATATATTAATATATGTTTGTGTAAATACATCTTAATAAATAAAGTATATTAATGAGGATGAGTCTTGCTCCGAAAACTCTTGTGGGTACCTTGATTATTTACCTGAAAACTGGTGAGAGACGTATTATTAATATTATAAATACATTTAACAATTTTGATAGTTGTGAAAAAAACAAGTTTTCCTCAGCCGGCCGTCCTAGTAGAGATGGCAATTTCGACCGACCCGTTGGATACCCGCACCGAACCGATTTGGTCAAACTGGGGAAAACCGGTTTGACTGGGGAATGGGTACGGGGCGGGGAATACCCGAATTTTTTAAATGGTTAATGGTGCGGTTATGGTTCTATACTAATCCACCCGTTATCCGCCCCGAAACCGCCCCGTTCACTAGTGGTGCGGGTACCCGCACCGTTACCCGATCGATAACATTATTAATAAATTATAACTTTTTATATATAAGAATAATAACTATATATGCTAAATTGTGTATAATAAATAGTATATATCATATAAATAATGCTAAAAAGTATACTACTTTTTTAGGCCTAAAACTAAATATAGGCCTAAACCTATTTTTGAAATTTGGATTCTAGGATGATTACTACTTTTTTATTATGTTACAAGAGATATTGGGTGCATGTCATACTAATGAATTTAGGTCAGTATGCTTGATTGCTTAAATGTTTATTTTTGTATGTTTTAGGGTGCTTTGAATATATAAATAACAAGTAGGATTAAAAATTGGTTATTTGTTTTCCCAAAAAAAGTTGGTTATTTTGGTATCATTTGGGGAAACGGTTACCCGTGGATAAACCGATTCCCCGTTGGGGCGGGTATGGTTCAAATAAAAATTACCCGAATGGGTAATGGGGCGGTTTTGGGGCAAACATTTATCCAACGGGGCGGATCCGGTTTTATGTGTACCCGTCCCCGACCCGCCCCGTTGCCATCACTACGTCCTAGTGGACAATCAGACGCACTCTTACGGGCAGATATGGACATATGAGAGGTGAACGTTTCTTGCGGGTGGTGCCTGCTCCGCCGTCCGCCCTGCCTGCAGATTTTTTTTTTTAGACTTTGTCCGATCACGTTTTTGTATGTGTAATTTTGAGGCGAAACTAGGCCCTTCTAAGCATTAATTTTAGATTCACTTCGTTTATTTTTACTTTATGAGTTATGACGAGCAAGAACTTATGTTTAGAAACAATATACTATCTATATGCTTATTTAAAAAAACCTCTGAATATCCAATAACTCATTTTTAGAGAAAGAGAACATTGAGATAAAAAGTTTTAGAGGGTTAAATTCACTTAATAAATATATTTAACGCAGTGACCTAGCTTAACCCCAAACAAATTTTATTGTTTTCACTTGTGTTTACCCAACAATAATTTTATATTTTTATGTATGCACCTACGTTCAATTCAATTCATCCAATTTAATATTTATCTTAAGTTCATCATATCTAATTAAATTTACATTTTTTTCAAATTTACTTTGGCCTTGTTTGGCAAACGGTTGTTAGGATGTTTCTACTTGCATAGAAATTTATTGATATGGTCTGAATTGGTTTGGTATGGTATGTTTTGGTAGATGTACATGTCTGATCTGGTCTAGTTTGGACTAAAACAGTCCAAGTAAAGACATCTATAGCTATTCATCCTATCTAATATTTATCTGAAATTCATCGGTTCTAATTAAATTCACTTTACCCAAATTCACTTTGACATTGTTTGGCAATCGGTTGTTAGCTGGTTGTGTTAGCGATTTCTTAACAGCTGATTGTGTTATCCGTTGTGACTAGCTGGTTGCCTGGTTATGTCAGCTGATTGTAAATAATTATTTGATAAAATTGGTTGTTCCAAAATGGTTGATAAAGTGTAAAAACATACAAGTGCATGAAAGTACTTATTGTATTTATTATGAATAATGAACATGTTATAACTATAACTAATGTTACTTCACATGTATAAATCATTCATATACTTGGAAAATGTTCTAATACTCAATCATTTAGGGTCAACTAGCTGAAAAGATACTTGTGGGCTTTTTAATAACTATTAGCTTTTAGTGACTGAAAAGATCTTAAAAAGAAAAAGTGGCAGCTGTTTCGTAAAAAACTGACTGTTTGATTTAGTTTGGTTTGGTATACAAGTTGTTAGGACTACTTAATACTAAAAGTCATGAGCTTTTTTCAGATGTCACACTCCCTGTAGCATCTCAAAAAGAGCTTTTAATTTTTGAGAAGCTCTTAAAAATTGTCATGCCAAACATATAACTAGAAGCTTTTAGAGACTTTTTGAACAGTACAAAAGCTAGAAGTCACAGACTTATGCCGGCCAAACATAGCCTAAACCTGTAACATTAAATTAATTCAAGATAGAAGGCATACTTAATAATATAAATATTCGTTAAGCATATGTTATATCATTTGTTTGAATAGTGATAGGTTAGACAAGTTTGTTAAAAATAGTTGTTCGAAAAACTAATCACAAATTATATATAATCATAAATAGAATACTTCTATGTATATTACTGTATGTAGTAAAATATATGAGTTTTTTTCGAATTAATGCTAATTAATTACGAAAATAATGTTGGGTTAAAAGTATTTACCGATCTACTGCTGGGGTTAACCATGGTCAGACAAAGTCACCAAACGGTTGGGCGACATATAATTCGCCATCCGGTTTGGCGACTTATAATAAGTCACCCAACCGTTTGGCGACTTTGCCTTGAAGGCTGTCGAAGGAACCAGCTACTGGAAGCCAGACACGATCGTGCATGGCAGGGAGGCACGATCGTGCCTGGAGGCGGAATACCCCTTGCATCTGCAAAAACCAGTAAATTCAAACCAGATACAACACATTACAAAACATACAAGACATTTGCTCACCAACACATACATAACACATGCTCTCAACAACATACAAAACACCACATACATTTTCCCGATACAAATAAGATACAAAACAGTAGATTCATAACCAGTAAAACACGGTACAATCATCCAATATTCATAACCGAACACATCAACACATCATAAAAGAGTTTACAGGCGGAAATACGTAAAATAAAGTCAATTGTTCCTACAACATCAAGTGCACAAGAAAAACTCCAATACAAAAGACAAACTACAAGTTCTCATGGCCTTCTTGATCGTCTTGGTCATGGAGATGTTGATGTTGCTGCCTATGACTACGCCGCTGTCGTGGTTGAAGAACCACTCTCTCATGCTGAGTTTGGGATGATGAAGCCGCCGCTGCACTAGATGTCGATGGCATATCCTGAGATGGGGGCATATGTATAAGATGACCGTAGTCGACTCGCCCCAACACATCTGAACACAACGAGGCAATGCCCGTCAAAGCCTGACCGTACATGTCCACGTCATGTGTATCACTCACTGTGGCAGTAGCTCGCTGATGTATATGCTACAAAGTTCGTGTCTGAAATATGAATCACAATTACAATTAGTTAGAAATAAATAAAAGTGTTAAATAAAGAAAATGACTTACTTTAGTAATTAGTAATATACTCACCGTCATATGCAAAGCCATGCCTACAAAAAAGGATATTAGTTAATTTTTACTATTTATTTACTTAATTTTTTAAATAATATTTTTTTTTTCATGCCACGTTAGTATCAATTGTGGATTATTATGATTAAAACCTTACCCAGTGGACCCCCCTCCATCTCTTGATGATCTCTTCGCACATGTGGCCCTATTATGGCCTGGTTGTTTACATTTTCCATATCTAACCGTTCTTTGGGGACCTTCATCCATCTCATTCTTAATACGTGTGAACTTAAGTATTCCCTTAGCTTGAAGCATGGATGGATCGTGCATAATTTCAGGTCCACCAAACTTCTTTTTTTGATGTTGCCGTGCGGTCCAGACAAACAATTTTTTAGGTGAGTAACTTTGAAATGAGTGTGCACATTTGATGCAAGATGGCAGATACATAGCCTATGGTGCGCATAAGGCTCCTCCTAAGTACTGCCCACCTCATTCATTGCCTTGACTATACCTACATGTCGATTAGAAATGACGCACAACTCCCTATCAGTGACAAACTCTCTAATGCATGACATAAACCATGGCCAACTCTCCCCATTCTCAGATTCAACAACTGCAAAGGCTACATGAAATATTTGGTTGTTCGCATCACTACCCATAGCCACGAGCAATGTACCCTTGTACTTCCCATACAAGTGTGTGTCATCAATAGTAAATACGTGTCGACAATGCTTAAAACCATGTATTGAAGGCTTGAATGCCCAAAATACTCTCTGAAACTGCATATAACCTGTAGGAGTAATAGGGGGTGGGTACCAGTGAACAACAGTTCCAGGATTGGACTGTTGGAGCGCTGTCATGAAATGGGGCAATTCAGAATATGACTTCTCCCAACCGCCAAATATTTCTGCAATGGCCTTTTGCTTGCCCATCCATGTTCTCCTGTATGATACCGCATACCCATATTTTTCCTTCAGCATCTCAACGATAGTATGCACTTTAAGGGAAGGATCACTGTGAAGAATGTCAATCACATCTTTAGCAATGAAATCTGATGTCATCGCCACGTGATCAGCACTGTCGGTGTTGCCAACACAGGTAGCAGAATGAGGTCCATGATAACACACAACTGTGAAGCTGTCGAGGTTGCCTTTGTTCTTTGCGGCGCGTATTCTCTAAGGGCAATCACGTTCTTTCTTCCTCTTGCACTCTGCCACCCATTTGAGTTTATCGGACTCCAACACCCGATAAAATTGGTTCCGTTTGATAGAATACAAGGTCACCATATTGATGACTCATTCTTTAATTTGTTTTCAAACTGTTGGCCGACCTCAAACTCACCTAAGCTGTAAACCTTTTCATACCTGATCCACGCATCAGTAAAGCCTTCGGGGAGATCATATATTCTAGTAAAGTGGCTAGACGGGGCAGTTGCCGTGACAGTATCACCATCATCTTCATCAGATTCTGTCATGTCATCACCATTGATGTTCTCATCAGCATCATCATCACTTCCCTGCCCATCCACAAATGATGCACCATTGTGCAAATACCTACCATCTTCCTCTATAACCATGTCCAGTACAGCAGCAATTGAGGAGTTCCCTCCATTGACACCTGCATTGACACTATGCCTAGATACAACACCATTTGATGTTGATGGAGTAACAGAAACGTCACATATGGATTCCTCAATGTATATCTCCAGCGTGGACATATTCTCCATCTGAATTATGCACCACATATTTGATACAACTAGCTAATCAAAAAGCGGCATAAGCATGTAATTTCCCCCGTTCATGGGAAATTTCATTTTCAATCGCAAAGAACGGTTCAGAGGAATCATTGTAGCTGCATGGATTTTCTGCAGCATCTCGAGCAAGCATGCGCCACGAGAAACAATGACAAAGCTACTTCTACCACATTCATGGCGTATTTGGCCACCTTCCTCAAATACGTTCCCTCCCCAATGACACACGATTGGGAAGTTTGAGAAATCCATATTCTAATAACAATATATGTCCAACTTTTATGAGTACACATTAATATACACACTTTATACACCAAAATGAATTATTTCATAGACATCACAACATATTAAGCAAATCCTATATGATATATATATACACTTAAGGTGGGAAAATATAACATTTAAAAAAAATACATTCTATTTTTTGAGTTTTTTTAGCATTGATGCGAACAAAAAACACCTCCAAATCTACATTACATAACAAAGTTCAAAAAAAAATTATATAACAATGAATTCAACATCAACATTCAACACTTCATACATATTCACATTACACAACAAATCAATTCACAACTGAATTCCTAATTTACAAAATCCAATTTTCTATATTCTAAACCCTAAAATGAAAAATGAGATAAAATGGAGATATTGGTTTACCTAGAGTGTTGAAGAAGATGGAAGTGAAGTAGTATTGACAAGATAGGGAGGCCTCGCCGGAGTTTTGCCAGAGTTGGTGCCCGTTTTCGCCGTTCGTGGCTCCTCCTCGCTCACTGCAGAGTGTTTGGGAAGGGGGTTGCGTTCTGTCTGTAGCCGACTATTTTACTTAAGGGTAAGTCACCATACCGTTTGATGACTTATAAGTCGCCCAACCGGATGGCGACTTATAAGTCGCCAAACGGTTTGGCGACTTACCCCGACCAGGGTTAAGCTAGCAGTATATTGGTAGATACTTTTAACCCAACCCTATTTTCATAATTATTTAATTAATTAACATTAATACGAAAAAAAACTCAAAATATATTGACAATATTATTATTAATATTTATTTATTATTGACAAACAAATTAAAATTAAAATAACAATCCAACAGATCGACACATCTATGGTTGATAATATGATAATGCGGAAAAAACAAATGGAAGCCAAAACATTACGAAAGAAACTTAACAAAATGTGCACGTAATGTAATTTTTGTTGGAGAAATTCGTCGGAACCTGCAAAACAATGTTAGAAAAATAAAACAGCCCGAGACGCGCTAGTCGCTGTCCTAAAGAAAGTATTTCCGGTGGCTGGAAATCTTCCCCCAAGATATAACGGGCTCTTCGGCTAATTCGCCGGACACAAAAACTACGAGGAGAAAAGATTTTTTATAACCCAGCAGTTTGGTAGTATATTAGTATATGAGTAATATGCTTCGTAAGAGTGGATGTACGTTTTTTTTCCGTCTACATTGCATGAAAAGTATCTCCATATTTATAGACATACGTCCAAGTTTTCAAAATAAAGAAAAATTATTAGTTGGAGTTTTTCATCCGCGAGCGTAGGAGATATATGCGGTCATCCAAGCAACGTGCCCACGATTCCAACTTACTCGTTCAATGCGGAGGTATTCAAAAATACATCCGTAGAAAACTTCAACATATTATCTGGACTGAAATATTAACTCAATCACTTATAATAAAATGGAAAAAGTAAAACTATCATTTAGTCCAGGCCAGCTGTCCGTATAAGCAACTAAAGTAAGCCACGTACCAATGGTTCATTTATCATGACAAAAAGGATTTATCAAATATAGAGTATAAACCAATTTAAACTAAACCGTGTACACTAAATTAATAATATAATATATTTATTTGAAATAATAAATAATTTCCAACAATCCCCCACATATTTCAAATAAATATTTAAGGTTAAAATAATTTTGAAAATCTGCTGGGTTAACGGGAATGAGACTTTAAGTCTGGTGTCCGAAGACTATGAACCAAACCGAGACGATTAAGTCTTTACAAACCGAGCTTCTGGTGAAACATATAGTTTCTATGAACCAGTAAGCTACTATGGTAAGTCAGGGTCTTAATGGCCATGTCTCACCCCCCACAATTCCTCGCGTTAACGCCGTGTTGCGCCTTTAGGCCGTGCGCGTGCTTGGTATTCTTGAGTGCTCTAGAAGCGTTGTCATGCTTCATGGAGGCGGCCCCACCTCACACTCATATAGGTGACCTCATCAAGTGTGTTCTGCACTTAACACACCAGCCATAAGGCTATGAAAATCATTAAGAGTTTTAGCTCAGCCTCACAGCGAATGCAGTCTAGCCTCACCCTAGAAATGAACATAATAGGCTAGCAGGAACAAATAGAAGACTTGTTATTACCCATATGAACCTGCTTCATGGGATCTCCAATCACACAGGTTGGGTTACCATCCCTATTTATTAACAAGTGACAGTCCATTTCCCTCGGTGTATAAAATATAATATCCTAGGATTTCGGCCAAAGGAGACTATTTACTCCACTTGTCATAATTATATGACAACTTTATATTTCATGTATTTCATATGATATCGTTGTAGTCGACTGTACAACAATATCATCTAAAAATTATATCATCATTGTATTACTTTAATACAATGGGTTAGCTCACCAAATACACTTTTGTGTTTCTATATTCTGCTCAATCTTCCGACATTAAGTCGGGTATCACATATATAATTTGTTCGTTTTAACAAATTCACCATTTGAGCATCATCAATATAAGACTAAAATATTGTTGTCTTATATTCCACCGAAATATTTACAAAACTATCAACCTGGTAATAGCACGCATAAATAATTGCACACGCTATTTTCCGTTATCCACCACATACAAGCAAATTAATTTTATAACTATTTGCTTGCATATCCATCCCACAGATGACAGATGCCACCTAATCTAATATTAAATCACAGAAGAAACTTACGCAGCACTATTTGGAGCAAAACTGAAAATAATCAAGTACCCCCACATTTCTGAAAATTTTATTCGGTGAAAAAACCATTCCAAAACGATAAGGCATATTCCCTGAACAGGACATACATGCAACAAAACACTTCAAAAGTATGTAAATCAAATTACCGTAGACGACAAGTGCGGATAGTATGCTTAAGAAATTGATCTAAACGTTACCAATTTGAATTCGCAACAAACTTTCAGTATATGAGTATATCACATCAAAATTGCTATTTCATGCCAAACATGTCAATTGCTATACCATGCATGTATAATATTCAAAGAATGGAACAAAATTTAATTCTCAAAAAATTCTCCGTGCATTTCCGAATGCTAGTAAAACCGTACCACACAACATGCATGCACCATAATACTCATACATTACAAGTAAACCATAATGATACAACACATATTACAAAATTTGACATCGAAGGGCTCAAAATATACCGTACATTATTAATATATTAAAAAATTGCTACCATATGTAAATGAATGAATAAAATTCTATCACAGGCCATTAAAAATCTGATTTTATTCAAACTAAAAATTCATACGTGGTAATATCATAAAGATGCTTACAACACTTATTTAGCAAATAAAATAGAAAACAAATGTAGCTCACGACTTATTTATCAATAACTAGAAAACAGATTACTTCAACACTTCTGACACATTCAACATGAAAAGCCCTTGATTACAATAACCTCTTCCAATAAATATATTATTCTTAGTGAGAACCACCTTGTCGGATTCAAAGGATGCCTTGACACCAGCTCTTCCCAAGAGTGAAACGGAGATTAAATTCGTCCGTATCTCGGGCACATGAAGTACGTCGGTGAGTGATAATGTCTTGCCGGATGTGAGTTTGATATTAACTTTGCCCTTTCCGTGCACCTGGGTAGTTCTAGAATCCCC